TGGTTGAAGCAATCCTGTTGCCACAGCAGGATTGACAAGAGCAATCCTGTGCCCAGCCCAGGATTGACGGCAGGGCGTGTGAGTGGTAAAAAACACTCCGACAGCGGTATGGCGAGGAGCAGGGCGCTGGCAGACATTCGGCGCTGGCCCGGTGATGGGTTTTTGGGCAAAATACCGAAGTCGGAAATCCTGCTGAGAGACCGAAGTCGGATTTCCGACCTCGCTCGTTTTTGCCGAAGTCGGATTTCCGACCTTGGCGCAGGCTCGGCAGGCTGGAGGCTTCTATGCCGGGCAGGTGGCGCGGCCGGGGAGGCTTCTATGCCAGGCGCGGCAGGCACCAAGCCGCCGAACCCTCACAGTCCCCCGGGTCCTTGCTATACGTGCTATATGTGCTATATGGGTCTCACAAGGCAAGCCACTGAACATCCACTCTCCCCGGGTCCTTGCTATATGTGCTATATGTGCTATATGGCCCTATATAGCACATATACTACAGATTTTCGCGCGTACAGAATAATATAGCACATATAGTACATATAGCAAGGAGCTGGGGGAGAGTGGGGGTTCAGCGGCTTGGCGTGTAAGATATAGCACATATAGCACATATAGCAAGGAGCCCGGAGACTGTGGGGGTTCAGCGGCTTGGCGTACACGCGGCGCCGTGCCGCAGCAAATCGGGTGTCCGCGTTGTCCGCAGTGGGAGGTAGAATCCCCCACTGCGGACAACCCTAGCTCTCTCTTTAGAGGGCGTTTCCCAAATGGATTCTATTCTACCTGAAAGGCTCCCAGCACTCGTCCGTCCAGCATTTGACCTCGTCCTCGAAGGATTCGAAGTCTAAAACGCTGCGTGCAGGCGTATGGCTGCAAAATAGTGACCCCTAGATATGCGCCGCAATTTGGCTCCAGGTTGCATTTCAAGCGATGTCAACCTTTGCCAAAGGAAACCCCTTTTCCCTTTTTTTTGGGGACCCCTTTTTTTGGGACCCCTTTTTTTCTTTTTTTTTGTTTTTTCTTAGCCCTGCAAGCCCTGCAAAGGTTGGCTCGCTTGAAATGCAACCTGGAGCCAAATTGCAAGCGTATCTAGGGGTCACTATTTTGCAGCCATACGCCTGCACGCAGCGTTTTAGACTTCGAATCCTTCGCAGGACGAGGTCAAATGCTGGACGGACGAGTGCTGGGAGCCTCTCAGGTAGAATAGAATCCATTTGGGAAACGCCCTCTAAAGAGAGAGTCCGGAAAGCGCACGGCTATTTGGGCAGAGGCTGCCTCCGTGACGCCGAGCTTGTCGGCAAGGAGACCGTCCACTTGTGCGATTGTGTAGTAGCTGAGCAGGCTGCGATGCTCGAGGCCGTTGCCGTGTCCGGCGTCTACCTGCACCGAGGTGTAGTAGGCCAGCAGCGCGGCTGTGATGGCGGCCTGCGCAGCCCTGAGCCTTGCACAAGCTGGAAGGGGCATTACGCTTTGCCCCGGAGAGGCTGCTAGCCATCCGGCTTCAGAAAGCCAGTGTGGCTTGCGACAGGCTTTTCCGCCGCCAGAACACCTGGCTGCAACGGCTGAGTTTGCGCACAAACTCCAAGCATCAGAAAATAAACTGATGAAAGTCGCTGCATTAAGGGTTTAGCGATGCCCTTGCATTGTCTGCCACTGCGTTCCGCCGCAGGTGCAACTCCGCACTGAAGAGGGGGACTTTTGCGCCTGGGTCTTAATCGCGTGTTGCCGGGTTGCCTTGGAAAGCACTGAAGGCGGGGAACATCTCGCCTCTTGTCCTAGGTGCGCCGCAGTGTCCTAGCAAAGTGCCACCTTCCCAAGCAACCCGGTAAAAAGGTGTGCGCGCTGTCGCTTTGGGTTTAGGGTTCTTTGTGGTTTAAGGCTAGGAGCAGTGCGCGGGACCTTTAACTTAGCAGGATGGAGAATTTGGCTGTTTTGGAGGGTTTTTTCAACAGCGCCAACCTGGGCGGGCACGCTTATGCAGGCGCTGCTTAAGTTCCAATATCAATGACAGGTCGATGACAGTTTATTTGGGATGTGTGCTGTCCGTGCATTGATGGATCCATTATACTACTTTGTTCGCAGTGCTGAGTAAGTTTTGTCCTGCCAAGTGATCGCAATGAAAAGCCCAGAACTTGGTTGAGCGCAACAATGCACCAGTCGGAATGCAATGGATGGTCTCCGGAACGCGGTCATGTGAGTGTATGTGCTTTCTTGTAGGTGGTGAATTCATTGGACCTTTCGATGGTGCTCCACTTTTTTGTGCAGAATTTCGGGCGTGTTTTCTTTGGTTTGCCCGGGGCTTTTCATTGTTACACCTTCCGGGTGAGCTGTTTGTCAATGCAATACCAAGACATGAGTCACCTTTTGGCACCGTTTGCGGGACCCAACTGCGGCCGCCTTCTTGCTTCGGCGCGTGGCCGGTCGGTGTTGGGCGCAGCCGCCAATTGCAGCGATGGAGGTGATGGTCGTTTGCAGTGAGTATTGTCTTTTGGCTGACCCAGGGGTGACAACCCTCACTTTTTCTGTTTATTGGTTCAGTACGCTCGAGATTCTTGCATTTCTTGGATGCTCTGGATGATGTATTCATGGTGATTGCCCGTGCATGCTCTTTCCTGGTTATTCTGCCAGCACTACCGCATGCTTTGGAGCGAGCTCTGCCCTGCGTATGTCTATGACCTGTCCATGACTTGCCGCGTGTATGTCTTGGTCGCATCTACGATCAAATCTTCTTCTTCCATGGTCGGCCATACTGTTCATGGATTCTGCCGTGGGGTGCGGCAATGTTACTGCTTTTTCGGGATGCACTGTCCTATCGAATTTCGGCTACGTGATGACTCTACGTTTTCATAATTCGCGGCTTGCGGTACTCCCCCTTCTTTGCATGATCTTTACAGGTTTCACTTTTCGGCTCGTCTTTGTCTGTGTTTCTGTTTGCCTGTTTGCTTGCTTGTCCGGTTTGGGTGGTTTCTCTGTTTTGTGCTGATCGAGCCTGGGCACTTTTTAAGGCACACGCACCTCTCGTGATGCCCGTACCTGATCTGTTTTGCTGTTGTTTCATCCTTTTCACACGGAGTTGCTTGATGCAGACGTGCGCTCGACGCGGATCGCTGCTAAGGGGCAAAAAAAAAAGCTGCGGTTCGTCTTGAGCGTCTCGAAGGCCAGGAACCTTTCCGAGTCGTTGATCTGGAACTCGAAGTTCGTCACGGAGCTCTTGGCCACGGCCCGCTCGAACTTGGCCGGGTCCACGTAGGCGTTCGTGTTCCGGAACTTGTCGGGGTTCATGCAGCAGCGGCCGGAGATGTGAGCTTCACCACCTTTCACCACCTTCTTGGCGACCGCGCTCCCGTGCGAAGCGGTAGGCTCTGTGCAGCCTCCAGACCCTGGCCCCCAGCGCGCCCGCAAGAACTTGAGGCGCTTGCCGTCCACGCCCTCCTCGACGTGCGTGCCGAGGAAGGGCACGAGCTTCTCGCAGGGGGACGGGGAGATGCCGAGGTGCTCCGCCATGGTCGCCGTGTGCGGGCCGTATACGGCCCTCCCCGCTTAGTCTTGGCCTTTGGCGCAGCCTTGGGCTTTGGCATACAGCAGCCAACTCCGCTCGCCCGTCTAGCACTGCGCAGACAGGTGGAGAGCAAGTGCTTTCGCACATCGAGGGAGGTCTTCGCAGGCATACATGCACCCATCTCAGCAGCCGCCGACAGGCTTCGAGGCTTTCGACCTCGACGCCAACTCAGAGCGCGACATCCTTGACGACGCATGCTTTGAACTACTGATGCGCATATCCTGGTCAGGCATCGTCAGCCTGATTACCCTGGCTTCCAGCAGCAGCGCAAGATCACGGAAGCGCCCAAGAAGTTGGAGATGAAGAAACTGTACCAGGTGCTTGTAGTCATCGACGGCTTCGCGGACAGCTGCGCAAGCCCCGCGGAACCTTTATAGAACACTGCGCCTGCGCAGCAAAACGACGTCTGACATGCTGAGAGCTACGATTTCCGCACAGGGGCGCGAAAAATCACACGCTTCAAGTCATTTAAGTTGCACATTTTTCGCTTTCCCCACTGGAGCTGTGAGCGTGACACCCGCGAACACGTACGAATGCTTGCAAACGCTTGCGAACGCTTGCGCGGATGCTTGAGACGTAAATCACTGGCTTTTGGTCACATCCTAACCCCCAGACCCCCGACCTCTAAACGAGAACCCTTTTGCTATGCAGTCAGGAAAGCTGCAAGGGCCGTAACGTGGGACGATGGATGATGATGATGATGATGATGATCATGATGATGATGATGATGATGATGATGATGATGATGAGAATGGATGGTAATGATGGATGACGACGATGATGCTGATGGATGGTTTTGGAAGAACAATGATGGGTGATGGATGATGATGATGATGATGATGCTGATGCTGATGCCGGGTGATGAATGATCCTTTGTGAAGGATTATAATGATGATGGATGATGATGCTGGAGATGACCCCCTTCCCATGCGTCTCGCGCTTGCATGGTTGGATTTTCGTTGTGCACCACAGAAGCCAGACTTCTGTCCATTACCCTGAAGCATGTGGGAAAACGCTTTTTGCAGCACGAAAACTTTTCGTTTAGTCGACTAGTGACCATGCTGAATGCGACATGGGGAAAAAACTTGAGCATCACCAAGCAGCCACATAAGCTGAGCAGTTCCCGGAAAACAGAACTTCCTTTACAGATGGAGGCTGACACAAAGTCACCGGAGTCGGGTCGCAGGTGGGCCGTAGCTGCCTGTCTATTTGTTTGGTTGGTTGTTTGGTTGTTTACTTGTTAGCACTTGTTTTTCCTGGCACACTGGTGATTTCAGTTTGTGCGATTCATTTTGTTGCAAATTGAATGGCCAGTTGCTTGTCAGTTGCGGTGCTGTGCCTTGTTTCCCGTGTGATGCCGAACATATTCCACATCGCGGTGGCCCTGCTCAGCGAGTCAGGGTAGCTGCATTGCGTCGTGTTTTGTGAGCCTTCCTGGAGGATTCAAGCCATGGCGCCTCGTGACAAGGAGGTGTACTTCGCAAAGCTTGCTGAGCAGGCCGAGCGCTATGATGAGATGGCCGAGCACATGAGCCTTGGACAAAGCTACCACTCGGGATTCTGCATATTCACGGGTGCCTGTAGGGTGTCAACATTGGGGCTTGACTTGGGGCGCTGCATGTTGAAGGACACTTCAGCTTGAATCTATAGCATAACATATTCTTCTTCACATGCGTTGGTTGTCTCAGCGTGGAAAGAGAGAGAGAGAGAGAGAGAGAGAGAGAGAGAGAGAGAGAGAGAGAGAAAGAGAGAGAAAGACAGAGAGAGAGAGAGAGAGAGAGAGCGAGAGAGAGAGAGAGAGAGATAGGGGGGGGGAGAGGCAGATCTAATATGGAACAGTTGCTTGGGTGCCATTTGCTTTGAGATTTGCAGCACTTGGATTCTGCCAGTTTGTCTTGCATTGCGGGCAGTACCCATTTTCTTTGACAGGCACTCTAATCATTAGCGTGCAGCAGATCCATGTTCAGTCTTTTGTGGTATTTGCCCAGAGAGTGAGAGATGATTGCTTACCAGTTCAATTGCGTTGCTTGAAGGATGAAGCTGGTATGAAATGTAGATCAGACAACGAGGACGGCAACGAAGTCGACGGCGACAACATTCGTCACAACAAGATGGTCAATAACTTGATAACCATGTAAATATCTTGTGATGAGCAGTTACATGCAATCGCGAAAGGCGCACGACAGGAATTCGCCAACATATGAACGACGCACCAATCGGGATGCGTCCTCACATGCCGACTGATGCATTTGTTTCTCGAAAGGAAGAATGTGGGCAACGAGGGCAGCGAGCTTTCCGTTGAGGAGCGCAACCTGCTGTCGGTGGCCTACAAGAACACCGTAGGCTCTCGCCGTGCTGCATGGCGCATCATCACCAGCGTGATGCAGAAGGAGACCAGCAAGGGCAATAGTGACAATGCCGGTTATGCCAAGGAGTACTGTGAGAAGGTGGAGAAGGAGTTGCAGTCGATCTGCGACACCATCCTGGCCCTCTTGGATAACAAGCTCATTCCCAAATCCGGCAGCGGTGAGTCCAAGGTCTTCTACCAGAAGATGAAGGCGGACTACTACCGGTACATCGCTGAGTTCCGTGATGGGGACGCAAAGAAGGCTGCAGCGGAGAAGGCAAGAGAGGCCTACGCTGAGGCAGAGAAGGTGGCTGAGAAGGACTTGGCAGTGACACACCCGATCCGCCTGGGTTTGGCCCTGAACTACTCGGTCTTCATGTACGAGGTGCTCGGCAACCCTGACGAGGCCTGCAAGATGGCCCGCAAGGCTTTCGAGGACGCCATTGCTGAGCTGGACAACGTGGCAGAGGACTCCTACAAGGACTCGACCTTGATCATGCAGCTGCTGCGCGACAACCTGACCCTCTGGACTTCGGACCAGGAGGGAGGCAACTAGATTTGCACGCTTTTGCAAGCATCACTTCGCCAGGAAAGGCAGCAAACGGCTACAGATTGCTGGCTGGATCATACCTGAAACAGAGGACAGAGAAAAGTACATAGGCTGTAGTTGCTAGATCAGGACTGCTGCAGCCGGCATTTGCGCCCTCAGAATGTGTTTCAGTCTCTTCAAGCAGTAGTGAGCTTGCTTGATGTGCTTGGCAGATTGAGTTGCAAATTGAATGGCCAGTTGCTTGTCAGTTGCGGTGCTGTGCCTTGTTTCCCGTGTGATGCCGAACATATTCCACATCGCGGTGGCCCTGCTCAGCGAGTCAGGGTAGCTGCATTGCGTCGTGTTTTGTGAGCCTTCCTGGAGGATTCAAGCCATGGCGCCTCGTGACAAGGAGGTGTACTTCGCAAAGCTTGCTGAGCAGGCCGAGCGCTATGATGAGATGGCCGAGCACATGAGCCTTGGACAAAGCTACCACTCGGGATTCTGCATTTTCACGGGTGCCTGTAGGGTGTCAACATTGGGGCTTGACTTGGGGCGCTGCATCTTGAAGGACACTTCAGAGTCCTCTCGGGTCAGTGGCAGCCTTGAATCTATAGCATAACATATTCTTCTTCACATGCGTTGGTTGTCTCAGTGTGCGAGGCAAATGTATTAATGGGGGAGTTGCTTGGGTGCCATTTGTTTTGACATGTGCAGCACTTGCATTCTGCCAGTTTGTCTTGTTTTCTGGGCAGTGCCCATTTTCTTTGACCACCCTTTTGTTGTATTTTCCCAGAGAGTGAGAGATGATTGCTGGCAATTTTAATTGCGTTGGTTGACAGGTGAAGCATCGACCAAACTGGGACAATGGCTCTCATGTCTATGAAATGTAGATCAGACAAAGAGAACGGCAACAAAGTCGACGGACACGATAATTGTCGCAACAAGATGTTCAACAACCATGTAAATAGCTTGTGATGAGCAGATACATGCAATCGCGAAAGGTGCACGACAGGATTTCGCCAACATATGAACGGCGCAACAAGCATATGAGGAAAGGATGCGTTCACATGCCGACTGATGCATTTGTTTCTCGAAAGGAAGAATGTGGGCAACGAGGGCAGCGAGCTTTCCGTTGAGGAGCGCAACCTGCTGTCGGTGGCCTACAAGAACACCGTAGGCTCTCGCCGTGCTGCATGGCGCATCATCACCAGCGTGATGCAGAAGGAGACCAGCAAGGGCAATAGTGACAATGCCGGTTATGCCAAGGAGTACTGTGAGAAGGTGGAGAAGGAGTTGCAGTCGATCTGCGACACCATCCTGGCCCTCTTGGATAACAAGCTCATTCCCAAATCCGGCAGCGGTGAGTCCAAGGTCTTCTACCAGAAGATGAAGGCGGACTACTACCGGTACATCGCTGAGTTCCGTGATGGGGACGCAAAGAAGGCTGCAGCGGAGAAGGCAAGAGAGGCCTACGCTGAGGCAGAGAAGGTGGCTGAGAAGGACTTGGCAGTGACACACCCGATCCGCCTGGGTTTGGCCCTGAACTACTCGGTCTTCATGTACGAGGTGCTCGGCAACCCTGACGAGGCCTGCAAGATGGCCCGCAAGGCTTTCGAGGACGCCATTGCTGAGCTGGACAACGTGGCAGAGGACTCCTACAAGGACTCGACCTTGATCATGCAGCTGCTGCGCGACAACCTGACCCTCTGGACTTCGGACCAGGAGGGAGGCAACTAGATTTGCACGCTTTTGCAAGCATCACTTCGCCAGGAAAGGCAGCAAACGGCTGCGGATTGCTGGCTGGATCATACCTGAAACAGAGGACAGAGAAAAATACATAGGCTGTAGTTGCTAGATCAGGACTGTTGCAGCCGGCATTTGCGCCCTCAGAATGTGTTTCAGTCTCTTCAAGCAGTAGTGAGCTTGCTTGATGTGCTTGGCAGATTGAGTTGCAAATTGAATGGCCAGTTGCTTGTCAGTTGCGGTGCTGTGCCTTGTTTCCCGTGTGATGCCGAACATATTCCACATCGCGGTGGCCCTGCTCAGCGAGTCAGGGTAGCTGCATTGCGTCGTGTTTTGTGAGCCTTCCTGGAGGATTCAAGCCATGGCGCCTCGTGACAAGGAGGTGTACTTCGCAAAGCTTGCTGAGCAGGCCGAGCGCTATGATGAGATGGCCGAGCACATGAGCCTTGGACAAAGCTACCACTCGGGATTCTGCATTTTCACGGGTGCCTGTAGGGTGTCAACATTGGGGCTCGACTTGGGGTGCTGCATGTTGAAGGACACTTCAGAGTCCTCTCGGGTCAGTGGCAGCCTTGAATCTATAGCATAACATATTCTTCTTCACATGCGTTGGTTGTCTCAGCGTGGAAGAAGCGAGAGAGAGAGAGAGTGAAGGGGAGAGGCCGATCTAATATGGAGCAGTTGCTTGGGTGCCATTTGTTTTATCACTTGCATTCTGCCAGTTTGTGTTGCATTGCGGGCAGTACCCATTTTCTTTGACAGGCACTCTAATCATGAGTATGCACCAGATCCATGTTCAGTTTTTTGTGGTATTTGCCCAGAGAGTGAGAGATGATTTCTGACCATTTCAATTGCGTTGCTTGAAGAATGAAGCTAGTATAAAATATAGATCAGACAACGAGGATGGCAACGAAGTCGACGGCGACAACGCTCGTCACAACAAGATGGTCAATAACCGTCTAAATAGTTTGTGATGAGCAGTTACATGCAATCGCGAAAGGCGCACGACAGGATTTCGCCAACATATGAACGACGCAACAAGCATATGAGGCAAGGATGCGTCCTCACATGCCGACTGATGCATTTGTTTCTCGAAAGGAAGAATGTGGGCAACGAGGGCAGCGAGCTTTCTGTTGAGGAGCGCAACCTGCTGTCGGTGGCCTACAAGAACACCGTAGGCTCTCGCCGTGCTGCATGGCGCATCATCACCAGCGTGATGCAGAAGGAGACCAGCAAGGGCAATGCTGACAATGCCGGTTATGCCAAGGAGTACTGCGAGAAGGTGGAGAAGGAGTTGCAGTCGATCTGCGACACCATCCTGGCCCTCTTGGATAACAAGCTCATTCCCAAATCCGGCAGCGGTGAGTCCAAGGTCTTCTACCAGAAGATGAAGGCGGACTACTACCGGTACATCGCTGAGTTCCGTGATGGGGACGCAAAGAAGGCTGCAGCGGAGAAGGCAAGAGAGGCCTACGCTGAGGCAGAGAAGGTGGCTGAGAAGGACTTGGCAGTGACACACCCGATCCGCCTGGGTTTGGCCCTGAACTACTCGGTCTTCATGTACGAGGTGCTCGGCAACCCTGACGAGGCCTGCAAGATGGCCCGCAAGGCTTTCGAGGACGCCATTGCTGAGCTGGACAACGTGGCAGAGGACTCCTACAAGGACTCGACCTTGATCATGCAGCTGCTGCGCGACAACCTGACCCTCTGGACTTCGGACCAGGAGGGAGGCAACTAGATTTGCACGCTTTTGCAAGCATCACTTCGCCAGGAAAGGCAGCAAACGGCTGCAGATTGCTGGCTGGATCATACCTGAAACAGAGGACAGAGAAAAGTACATAGGCTGTAGTTGCTAGATCAGGACTGTTGCAGCCGGCATTTGCGCCCTCAGAATGTGTTTCAGTCTCTTCAAGCAGTAGTGAGCTTGCTTGATGTGCTTGGCAGATTGAGTTGCAAATTGAATGGCCAGTTGCTTGTCAGTTGCGGTGCTGTGCCTTGTTTCCCGTGTGATGCCGAACATATTCCACATCGCGGTGGCCCTGCTCAGCGAGTCAGGGTAGCTGCATTGCGTCGTGTTTTGTGAGCCTTCCTGGAGGATTCAAGCCATGGCGCCTCGTGACAAGGAGGTGTACTTCGCAAAGCTTGCTGAGCAGGCCGAGCGCTATGATGAGATGGCCGAGCACATGAGCCTTGGACAAAGCTACCACTCGGGATTCTGCATATTCACGGGTGCCTGTAGGGTGTCAACATTGGGGCTCGACTTGGGGCGCTGCATGTTGAAGGACACTTCAGAGTCCTCTCGGGTCAGTGGCAGCCTTGAATCTATAGCATAACATATTCTTCTTCACATGCGTTGGTTGTCTCAGCGTGGAAGAAGCGAGAGAGAGAGAGAGAGAGAGAGAGTGAAGGGGAGAGGCCGATCTAATATGGAGGAGTTGCTTGGGTGCCATTTGTTTTATCACTTGCATTCTGCCAGTTTGTGTTGTATTGCGGGCAGTACCCATTTTCTTTGACAGGCACTCTAATCATGAGTATGCACCAGATCCATGTTCAGTTTTTTGTGGTATTTGCTCAGAGAGTGAGAGATGATTTCTGACCATTTCAATTGCGTTGCTTGAAGAATGAAGCTAGTATAAAATATAGATCAGACAACGAGGATGGCAACGAAGTCGACGGCGACAACGCTCGTCACAACAAGATGGTCAATAACCGTCTAAATAGTTTGTGATGAGCAGTTACATGCAATCGCGAAAGGCGCACGACAGGATTTCGCCAACATATAAACGACGCAACAAGCATATGAGGCAAGGATGCGTCCTCACATGCCGACTGATGCATTTGTTTCTCGAAAGGAAGAATGTGGGCAACGAGGGCAGCGAGCTTTCTGTTGAGGAGCGCAACCTGCTGTCGGTGGCCTACAAGAACACCGTAGGCTCTCGCCGTGCTGCATGGCGCATCATCACCAGCGTGATGCAGAAGGAGACCAGCAAGGGCAATGCTGACAATGCCGGTTATGCCAAGGAGTACTGTGAGAAGGTGGAGAAGGAGTTGCAGTCGATCTGCGACACCATCCTGGCCCTCTTGGATAACAAGCTCATTCCCAAATCCGGCAGCGGTGAGTCCAAGGTCTTCTACCAGAAGATGAAGGCGGACTACTACCGGTACATCGCTGAGTTCCGTGATGGGGACGCAAAGAAGGCTGCGGCGGAGAAGGCAAGAGAGGCCTACGCTGAGGCAGAGAAGGTGGCTGAGAAGGACTTGGCAGTGACACACCCGATCCGCCTGGGTTTGGCCCTGAACTACTCGGTCTTCATGTACGAGGTGCTCGGCAACCCTGACGAGGCCTGCAAGATGGCCCGCAAGGCTTTCGAGGACGCCATTGCTGAGCTGGACAACGTGGCAGAGGACTCCTACAAGGACTCGACCTTGATCATGCAGCTGCTGCGCGACAACCTGACCCTCTGGACTTCGGACCAGGAGGGAGGCAACTAGATTTGCACGCTTTTGCAAGCATCACTTCGCCAGGAAAGGCAGCAAACAGCTGCGGATTGCTGGCTTGCTCATGCCTGGGACAGGGGGAAATCTAGCCTTTACCGACATTTGCTTTGGCAGCAGAAAAAATCGGCCCCTTGTTTGTGCTTGGACAAAGTATTGATCGATTGAATCAGTGGATCCATTCGGAATTTTGCTGTGATTTGAAGCCGCATTCCGCTGTGAGCGCACGCCCTGCACTGACTTGGCTTTATCCAGCTCATATTACGAGCGAATGACATAAGCAGACGTCCACACAGCTCGCAGTTGACGTTTGACGAATGGCTAGATGCTTGCAAGGTCAGCTTGTGTGAGCGCCAAGCATTTTGAGCCTGGCTTCCGCGCTTCCGGGATGGTGTGTCTGCCAGGACCGACTTGTCTAGTTGACTTGAGTCAGGCAGATTCTCTCGGGCAGATTGGCTCCGTCTGCGCAAGGACCGCCAAGCGGCTTTCGACATTCCGGGCGGCGCAGTTCCATGCCTCGCGGATGTATTCAAAAGGCAGGAGTCCGAGCTTCGTAGGTGGAACCAGCAACGTCGACAAAACAAGTTCTGTAGATCCAATCGCTGGAGAAACACGGTAGATGTTTGAACTGGGCAAGCCGTCCCTGCGACCATCAGGGGACCTCCCGGCGCGCGAGGCGGTCAGTATTTTTTTTTTGGCAGGGCGGAGGGAGTGCTGAAGGAATTAGAGTTTGTTCGGGTTGTGTGACTTGCATCTGCAGGTTGTCGTTTCAAGATGAAGCCGGGTTGGGTTCGCCCAAGTTCTCAGTGGGATCTTTTCGAGATTTGGTTGATGCGTGTCGCCCTTCACAAATGTGGTATGTTTGTACCAAGAAGGGGCTTGCTATGTTTGCTGTTCTTCACAGACAATCTGGGCAATGTTTTTCCATTCCCTCAGAACAATAGTTTCATGCAGTCAAGTGCAGGAACGTATGGTGCTGCATGTCCAAGCATGCAGAATTCATGTCCAGCTGTTTTTTGGAACACATTGTTCCACAGATAGCTGAAAGCCAAAGTTCTTACTTCTAAAGAGGGGCAGGCTGTTCCAGTTTGGTGCCGCGGGTGCTGGTCAGGGTGCTGTTTGGGGTGCGCTCAAAGTGGCGTGGTGGTTGCTGGCGGGGCCTGTTTTGTTATGCAGTCAAAGTGCTGTTTTGGGTGCTCTTGGTGTGCTCACGGTGCCTTGGTTGGCGGTGCTTGTTTTGCGATGAAGGATAAATACTGTTGTGGGTGCCAAGGTGGTGTTTGGCGTGCTCAAGGTGGTGTGGTGGTTGTTGGCAGTGCTTTGGCGGTCGGGTGCTGTTTCGTTCGGGCGAGGGTGCTTTTAGATGTGCTCAAGGGTCCTTGTTTGGGGATGCAGGCAGGGTGCTGTTGTGGGTGCTGGTCAGGGTGCTGGTCAGGGTGCTGGTCAGGGTGCTTTTTGATTTTTGCTCGAGGTGCGGTAGCAGTGGTGGTGCTTGTCCCGGTGCTTGGTGTGCTCAAGGTGGTGTGGTGGTGCTGGCGGCGCTTGTTGGCGATGCAGTGAGGGTGCTGGTCAGGGGTGCGGTTGCTGGTGCTAGTCAGGGTACTGCTTGGGTGCTGCTCAAGGTGCTGTTTGGTGTACCAGCACCTTGGCAGTTGCTAGTGCTTGTTTGGCGACGTGGTCAGCTGTTGAAGCTTTCCCACGCTATTTGGGGTCTGTGATGTTGTAATTTTGTGTTCTGATGTTCAGCTTCCACATGATGCAAGCGTTCCTCGCACCTGTTCCTTGTTCGGAAGTTGTTTGTTCTTTCTGCGTTTGTGGGCATTTCCTATCACTGGACTTGTTGAGTGTCCATCTATTTGAGTTGCTTCTCTTCTGTAGAGTCAGTTGCGTCTTTTTTGGGCCACTGGTTTTCCCAAAGGTAGCTGAAGGCACATCCTGGTCTCTTTCCCCAAGCCTCTCGGCGCAGGGCTGGCGGCCGGCACTGGCGCACCTGCTGGCCATGCATGCGAGGCCGGGGGTTTTTGGCACGCGGAGCTTGTAGACTTCAAACCTGGCGTCTCATGGCCCGTCGTTGTTTTCCGAATGTCTCAATGCCTGCATTCCGCTTGAGTTGTTTTTCTTATATTTTTTTGGCGAGAGTTTTCTGAGACACATGTGACGTGCCGTGCAGCTGGCAGATCCTGGCAGGAGACTGGAAAGGAGCCAGATCACTTTCGGGCGCTGCAGCAAGAGTTTGGCGGCCGAGGGAGCCCTGGATAGAGTTCCGGAAAGTTGAGCTACACAGAAGTTCGCTTGTTGAGCAGTCGCTTTCTCCAAGGAAGGTGGCGCTGGGGTTTGCAGCTGCAGATGGAAAAGCACCTGGAGCCCAGCGTTGTTTGTTGGATCCTTGTCTCCGGCTGTCAGTTCCCCCGGGCATCTGTTGAAGCATATCCCAAACGGGTCATCGGGGGTCGCGCAGACCTGATGCGACGAACTACTTGTGGGGCGGGTGGCTGTGGCACTGGACGTGACACAAATCGAGTGGTTGCGAATGGCTCCATTGAGTTGGTTTAGCCCCAATGAGTGGATAGGCCGAACCAGCTCAGGAATACCTGCCTCACATCATGCAGCTGGCTCCATGCCGAGTGCCTGCTGATGAGGCTTGGCATGCGATGTGTGCTCGAGTTTGCCCAGACCCTGCGGCTGATGTGGGATGCTTCCGGCAGCCAATAGCAGCACTGCGTGCCTCTGAACCTTTCCGGATTCAAGCCATGGCGCCGCGTGACAAGGACGTCTACTTTGCAAAGCTTGCCGAGCAGGCGGAGCGCTATGATGAGATGGCTGAGCACATGACTCTTGGTGAAAGGAGGGGAGCGTCCAACCGGGAATGCAATGAAATCTCTGCAGTGCCTTTAACAGAGCCAAAGTTGTGCAGCTGACCAGTACCACCTGGAGGTCGTTGCAATCTTACATGCATAGCGCTTTTTTTTGATCAAGATCAAATCACACAGGCACAAACAACAAGTATTGTCTCACAACTTTCCCAGTACACGTGGCAGGGCGGTTACACTCTGTGCAGATCTCCCATTTCCAGGTATTCGTGCTGGCTGTTTCACGTCCCACATGACTGAGTGCCTCGGTGATATCCAAGGAAGAACGTGGGCGACGAGGGCAGCGAGCTTTCCGTTGAGGAGCGCAACCTGCTGTCGGTGGCCTACAAGAACACCGTGGGCTCTCGCCGTGCTGCGTGGCGCATCATCACCAGTGTGATGCAGAAGGAGACTACCAAGGGCAACAATGAAAACGCCGGTTATGCCAAGGAGTACTGCGAGAAGGTGGAGAAGGAGTTGCAGTCGATCTGCGACACCATCCTGGCCCTCTTGGATAACAAGCTCATTCCCAAATCCGGCAGCGGTGAGTCCAAGGTCTTCTACCAGAAGATGAAGGCGGACTACTACCGGTACATCGCTGAGTTCCGTGATGGGGACGCAAAGAAGGCTGCAGCGGAGAAGGCAAGAGAGGCCTACGCTGAGGCAGAGAAGGTGGCTGAGAAGGACTTGGCAGTGACACACCCGATCCGCCTGGGTTTGGCCCTGAACTACTCGGTCTTCATGTACGAGGTGCTCGGCAACCCTGACGAGGCCTGCAAGATGGCCCGCAAGGCTTTCGAGGACGCCATTGCTGAGCTGGACAACGTGGCAGAGGACTCCTACAAGGACTCGACCTTGATCATGCAGCTGCTGCGCGACAACCTGACCCTCTGGACTTCGGACCAGGAGGCAGGCGCATAGAGCCGCCCATGCGGGCGTACCATAGCTCACACCAACGAACGTGTGAGCCTGGAAGAGGGGGGGAACCTGGACAGCATGGTCATTTGGACAGCTTCAAAAAAGGCGCGTCTTTTCCACTTTTCGCACAATGTCCACCGCGTCAAGACTCAGTTTGTGGATGCAGGCTGCGTGCCGCCCGTTTGGCGGACCGCATCTCCTTCCATGCCGTTTCTGGGCGTGGATGGCGCTCGGCGCTCTGGAAGCTGCCACAGCTGCGGGTGGAAGGCGGGAGGGAAGGGGAGCGCCATTCGGGTCCCCGAAGTTCCTTTGGGCTGGCCCATCCGCCGAAACGTTTAGCCGGACTCAACCTGAACTTGATTGCGCTCCTGCGAAGTCAACAGATGCAGTAGAAGTTGGTGAAACCAGGCTCTGCCAACATCAATTCGAGGATTAAATGGGGGACAGCTTGACATGTATCTTGAGCTTCAGAGTGTCATCCCACGGTCGGATGGTTCGCTGAGAGCCCAGGTCTGAAGCCGAATGCAGCATCCTGAGTTGTTCAGTTTCAATTTGCCGGGGCCGGGTGCCCCATTGCGGCCGGGTTGACAGATGGAAAGTCTGCCTTTGTGCACCTGAGAAGTTCACAGCAGCATCTTTGGTTCCAAAAAATAGGCGACTCTTGAAATTTGAGTCAGCAGCAGGGCCTGTTTGTGAGCGCAATGTGCAACCTGCGGCCACTTCACCAGAAAGCCTCGAGATTTTCAAGCCGCAGGTGGTCACCTACAACATCCTCCTGCATGCCTGTCAGGCTGGATGGGACTTTGATATTTCTCGCTGGTATTCCTGCAGCTTGCCCCAATTCACACATATGCATGATAAGCATATCATCATGCGTTTATGTATACCCAGCCGATGTACCTACTATCATGGAATCAATGAACACCTAGCTTGTGGTCGCCCGTGTCACGTCGAAGCAGCCAGACGCCAGATGCCTTTGGCTGTGGACGGACCACATGTTTTCAAGGAGGCACTGCAACTAACCTGGAGTTCGCTTTCACACTCAAGTGCAGGGTATGATTGCCTTTTTCTCGAGTGCTAGCATGTTTGCCTCTTTCCGTTTCTGGAGTGGGTTTTCGTCTTCGCCTTCACCTTGCGCAGGGACGCCGCGCCGGGGTGGCAAAGCGACTCTTCCAGAGTCTGCGCAAGGAGGAGCTGGAGCCGGACACCGTGACCGTGAATTCTCTGATGGGTCGCTCGGACTGAAGTTGGAAGTGAGCCCGGAGAGCCTCTCCGGACCCTTGTCAGGGACGCTCTCAACAATGTTCTTGCTGGTGCTCAGTAGGGAAAGGCACGAATTTGGGGTCCCTGAGAGGAAACACCAAATCGGGGATGGTTTATGGGGGTCAGACTTGCATCTCTCGCACCGATCGCCAGTTTTTGCTCGTCCCAGGCGCGAGCAAGGACGATTGGCCCCTGGTCCTGTCGCAGCTCCGTGAGCTGGGAAGGCCCACGGCGGTGAGTGCTGCGTCGATGCTGCAGGCGCCCGGAACGGAGGGCGCGTCTGGAGGCCGTTTTTCCCGGAGCGCTTCGGTTTGTTTGGACTCTGGACCCAAGTGCGAATGTCTGGCGCCCAAGGAGGGAATTCCATCCTTGGTTTTCATTTCTTTGCTGGGGACGCCATGGGCTGTTGAGTTCGGTCTTTCGTGCGGCAGTTCAGCGCAGGCGGCTCCGTGGCGCGCAGGCCTCGCAAGCCTGGCGCGGGAACCCAGGAAGGGGGAACAAGGGGTCGAAGGGGTCGAGCAGACACGTGAACTGTTACAGTCCAGTTCTGGTAACCCAAGATCAGGGATTGACGCATGATTCATCTTGAACCGCGCTGCATGAGGTCAGACAGGACTGTCTGCACCAGGAACGAATGTTCAATCATTCAAACCAAGTAAGTTTACAGGAGCAAGGAGGGGCTTGGACAAGGCGGGGGCTTTCGATGAGCCACGGACCGTAGCATTGTCAAGAGCACGCGCTGCAGACCGATTCCAAGGTGAGACTGGGTGCAGGGCCCAGAAATTGTCCTAAACAAGCGCAGAGACGCACCCGGTACAGCATATGCTTCCACTGACATGTAGCGCACTTGGAGCTTTCAAAAGGTGGTGTCCTTTTTCGAGGCCATCCTTTTATTAGGATGGCTTTTTCGGGGGAAAGCAGAAGGCAACCTATTTTGAGGGTTCCATCCTGATGCAAACCCTGAGCCACTTCCAAGACGCTCGTGCGCCTGTGTCAGGCCTGGCTTGGCCTGGGGGTGGTGAATGAAGTGGTGGTCACCTGTGCGTGTCGATCTCTGCGGGAGGCGTGCTGGGCCACACACCGGAGACCGGGCCCCGGCTGACGTGCACGGGGTCTCATCCGTGGCTGCGTTAAGATCGATGCGACTGAGTCGCATTCTAGTTGCATGGCTGGGGGAGCGCGGCGATGGTTGGAGTGCCAGACTACCAGGCAAGACTTACATGCCAGGTGCCAGACGCCCTTGACCGCTTGCTGGCAGACTTGGAGGCGTGCGAGTGCTTGCGCGAGTGCTTGCGCGAGTGGGTCAAGTGCAATTCCGCGCACTTCATCATGGTACATTTCCAGACCACAGATGCTATTCCAACCTTTCGCGGCTTGAGGTATGATATCAAGTTACTGAATGTGGGGGGGCAGGGCCTGCAGCAAACATCCAGCGCATTTTGACAAGTGCTACCCGTGCGTACACTTCGGCTCTTTCAACTCTGCTGGTTTCTTGCTTGGGTGCGGGGCCAAATCGGGGCCTGGTGGTTCAATTGGAACGCATGCTTCCAACAAACTCATTACAAAGTTTTCCTGAATGTGTGCAACAACTCATTGTTTGCATCCTATAATTGTATGCACCACATCAATCGACCGCAGGTTTTAGTCCATGTTACCACCTACAGGGTTCAATGTTGGGTACCTATGATTGACCCACAGCCACATGGCCATGGTTCGGATGTTCACTGGAGGCGAACCAGGATTTTGACCCACCCGCCCGCACCCTCGAGGCACACGGTCTTCAGCTCTCGCGGCAGAGCGGCAACGCTCGCCTGGCCGCCGGCTCCTGGAGGAGTGCCCTGCAGACGCTGCGAGGCCCCACGGGTCGGACGCGGAACTCAATTGAGCCACTTACTCAAAACCCGGGTGGATGAAGGTCAAGGGACAATCCCAACCATTAGCTGCGGAATTCCGCCTTCTTGATTCTTGAAGCATGGTTCTGGGTCGACCAGTTTAGTACCAGGTTTTGATGACTCAAAGGTCTCCCTGTTGGCTTCCTTGCCGCCCGGTTCACTGGGAGGTAAACAAAGAAACCTTGCAGCACAGAACGAAGACGTTCATGCAGAAATACAAAACGCATGTTTTTCATGTTTGTCTTTGATTCTTTGGTGTGAAAAACCAATACGTAAGTATGAATATATGGATGTATCTATGTATCTATGTACCTATGTATGTAGTGTGTGTATGTATGTAATGTAGCGTAGTGTAGTGTAGTGTAATGTAATGTAACGCAAGGTGATGTAATGTAATGTAATGTAATGTAATGTAATGTAATGTAATGTAATGTAATGTAATGTAATGTAATGTAATGTAATGTAATGTAATGTAATGTAATGTATGTATGTATGTATGTATGTATGTATGTATGTAATGTATGTATGTATGTATGTATGTATGTATGTATGTATGTATGTATGTATGTAATGTATGTATGTATGTATGTATGTATGTAATGTAATGTATGTATGTATGTATGTATGTATGTATGTATGTATGTATGTATGTATGTATGTATGTATGTATGTATGTATGTATGTATGTATGTATGTATGTATGTATGTATGTATGTATGTATGTAATGTATGTATGTATGTATGTATGTATGTATGTATGTATGTATGTATGTATGTATGTATGTATGTATGTATGTATGTATGTATGTATGTATGTATGTAATGTAATGTATGTATGTAATGTAATGTAATGTAATGTAATGTAATGTAATGTAATGTAATGTAATGTAATGTAATGTAATGTAATGTAATGTAATGTAATGTAATGTAATGTAATGTAATGTAATGTAATGTAATGTAATGTAATGTAATGTAATGTAATGTAATGTAATGTATGTAATGTAATGTAATGTAATGTAATGTAATGTAATGTAATGTAATGTAATGTAATGTAATGTAATGTAATGTAATGTAATGTAATGTAATGTAATAATGTAATGTAATGTAATGTAATGTAATGTAATGTAATGTAATGTAATGTAATGTAATGTAATGTAATGTAATGTATGTAATGTATGTATGTATGTATGTATGTATGTATGTATGTATGTATGTATGTATGTATGTATGTGTATGTATGTATGTATGTATGTATGTATGTATGTATGTATGTATGTATGTATGTATGTATGTATGTAATGTATGTATGTATGTATGTATGTATGTATGTATGTATGTATGTATGTATGTATGTATGTATGTATGTATGTATGTATGTATGTATGTATGTATGTATGTATGTATGTATGTATGTATGTATGTAATGTATGTATGTATGTATGTATGTATGTATGTATGTATGTAATGTATGTATGTAATGTATGTATGTAATGTAATGTAATGTAATGTATGTAATGTAATGTAATGTAATGTAATGTAATGTAATGTAATGTAATGTATGTATGTAATGTATGTATGTATGTATGTATGTATGTATGTATGTATGTATGTATGTATGTATGTATGTATGTATGTATGTATGTATGTATGTATGTATGTATGTATGTATGTATGTATGTATGTATGTATGTATGTATGTATGTATGTATGTATGTATGTATGTATGTATGTATGTATGTATGTATGTATGTATGTATGTAATGTATGTATGTATGTATGTATGTATGTATGTATGTATGTATGTAATGTATGTATGTATGTATGTATGTATGTATGTATGTATGTATGTATGTAATGTATGTATGTAATGTGTATGTAATGTATGTATGTATGTATGTATGTATGTATGTATGTATGTATGTATGTAATGTATGTATGTATGTATGTATGTATGTATGTATGTATGTATGTAATGTAATGTAATGTATGTATGTATGTATGTATGTATGTATGTATGTATGTATGTATGTATGTATGTATGTATGTATGTATGTATGTATGTAATGTGTATGTATGTATGTATGTATGTATGTATGTATGTATGTATGTATGTATGTATGTATGTATGTATGTATGTATGTATGTATGTATGTATGTATGTATGTATGTATGTATGTATGTATGTATGTATGTATGTATGTATGTATGTATGTATGTATGTATGTATGTATGTATGTATGTATGTATGTAATGTATGTATGTATGTATGTATGTATGTATGTATGTATGTATGTATGTATGTATGTATGTATGTATGTATGTATGTATGTATGTATGTATGTATGTATGTATGTATGTATGTATGTATGTATGTATGTATGTATGTATGTATGTATGTATGTATGTATGTATGTATGTATGTATGTATGTATGTAATGTAATGTAATGTAATGTAATGTATGTGTATGTATGTATGTATGTATGTATGTATGTATGTATGTATGTATGTATGTATGTATGTATGTATGTATGTATGTATGTATGTATGTATGTATGTATGTATGTATGTATGTATGTATGTATGTATGTATGTATGTATGTATGTATGTATGTATGTATGTATGTATGTATGTATGTATGTATGTATGTATGTATGTATGTATGTAATGTAATGTAATGTATGTATGTATGTATGTATGTATGTATGTATGTATGTATGTATGTATGTAATGTATGTATGTATGTATGTATGTATGTAATGTATGTATGTATGTATGTATGTATGTATCTATGTATCTATGTATCTATGTATGTATCTGGGTACCTATGTATGTAGTGTGTGTATGTATGTAATGTAGTGTAATGCAGTGTAATGTAATGTAATGAAATGTAATGTAATGTAGCACATGATGTAATGTAATGTATGTATGTATGTATGTATGTATGTATGCATGTATGTATGTATGTATGTAATGTATGTATGTATGTATGTAAAGTAATGTAATGTAATGTAATGTAATGTAAGGTAATGTAATGTAATGTAATGCAAAGTAATGTGATGTGATGTGATGTGATGTGATGTAATGTATGTATGTATGTATGTATGTATGTATGTAATGTATGTATGTATGTATGTATGTATGTAATGCAATGTAATGCAATGTAATGTAATGTAATGTAATGTAATGTAATGTATGTATGTTATGTATGCATGTATGTATGTATGTACGTATGTATGTACGTATGTAGGTAGGTAGGTAGGTATGTATGTATGTATGTATGTAATGTATGTATGTATGTATGTATGTATGTATGTATGTATGTAGGTATGTATGTAGGTAAGGCATGTATGTATGTATGTATGTATGTATGTATGTATGTAATGTATGTAATGTATGTAATGTATGTAATGTATGTAATGTATGTAATGTAACGTAACGTAATGTAATGTAATGTAATGTAATGTCATGTACTGTAATGTAATGTAATGCAATGTAATGTATGTATGTATGTAATGTAATGTAATGGAATGTAATGTAATCTAATGTATTGTAATGTAATGTAGTGTAATGTAATGTAATGTAATGTAATGCAATGCAATGTAATGTATGTATGTATGTATGTATGTATGTAATGTATGTATGTATGTATGTATGTATGTATGTATGTATGTATGTAATGTATGTATGTACTGTATGTAATGTATGTATGTATGTATGTATGTATGTATGTATGTATGTATGTATGTATGTATGTATGTATGTATGTATGTATGTATGTATGTATGTATGTATGTATGTATGTATGTATGTATGTATGTATGTATGTATGTATGTATGTATGTATGTATGTATGTATGTATGTATGTATGTATGTATGTATGTATGTATGTATGTATGTATGTATGTATG